TGAGATTCAAATTGAGGATGTTCGGAATACCTTTGGAAGAAGGACCATCGCACGTATTCTGCGACAACGAGAGCGTGGTGACGAATTCAACAATGGTCGAATCCACTTTGAACAAGAAGCATAATTCAATCGCTTATCATTACACCAGGTGGAACGTGGCTGCAGGAGTTGTCGACGTATCGTGGATTGCAGGAATGTTGAACCTCGCTGATGCCTTCATGAAACAATTGACACTAGAAAGGATAGGGCAACTTTTTGGGGAATGGACGTACTAGACGAGTTATTGAACTGGATCCCAACGTTGGAACCCAATTTGAGGGGACCAAATGAAGGCTACCGTGCTATTGCACACGCATGCAATGGTTCGTGTCCGTAAGTGAACGGGATCGGCCTTCGCGAAAGCCTGTCGATGAAACGACGATAACAACACTCTTTTTTAAAATACGATTCGATCTACATTACTATCTTTAACATCTACTACTTCGTAAGTCAACACCCTCGTAATAACATAACAATTACGTTTATATGTTATGTTGGAACCACACTGTTTGATGCCCGTCGTTTGGTGGGTTTGGACGGTAGGCAGAGATCACCACCAAGTCGCGCTGGCCAACGCCTCGTGTTCTGCCCTGAAGACGTATCCAAGCCCATCGCCCCAAGCTATCGTCGCCACTGGACCTGATTCGGTGAGATACTTCGTTGAAGGCAGAAGTCGAGCAGCCACCAAATTGAGTAGTAGAATGGGCCGCATGGTTGATGGGTATTGTAGGCCACCGCCGAATGGAAACCTTAGCCCTTCCTAGCCATAGTGCTGGCTCGTTCACGCCATCGGTTGGTTGGTGTAATTGCTTGAGCAACTTCTGTTCAAAAAATACAGATGCCTCACATGGTTCAAACTTGTTGTTGACTCACCGCTTCACAGTACTTGACCTTTACAGCCGAATATTTCACCGGCAATTGAATGCCCATAGAGTAGCATATTAACGATTAATGTCTCAGTTATTATTATTGGTGTAATTGCTGGCCAGAATTTGTTCAATTCAGCCAGAAGTAAAAAGTCCACACATTCGCTTTGAATCCAGTGGTTGAGTTGTGCTTGTTTAGGGTCGTCGGACTCGTCGGGAATCGTGTTAATATTCTGGAAGGCGAGTCGGGCGGAACCCTGTGCACGAACGAGATGGTTGTCACCAAAACCATCTCCTGGGAGGAAGGAACTTAAAAGGGAATCAAGAGAGGTGTGTGGAGCCGCTCTTGACCGGTTGCTGGTGATAAACGATCTATGCCTGTTCAGCAGGCGATCTTTTGTTTATCATGGACCCGTCGTGGGGGTACTGATACCCCCACGACCGGTGTCCATAGGAGAGGACGCATTGGGTTGGTCCTCCCCATCTTCTCCGTCCGTTTCATGAGCCGTCGCCGGTGGAGCAATGTCATGGACCGAGGGACTGAGTAGTGTAGTAGTGCTGGCACGTGTCTGGCCTGGTGGACCTGTAGGGACGTCCACTGCGAGCATCGGAACAGGCGTAACAGTTTTAGACAACTCTGTCATAGCAGCAGCAGTCTCTTGAGCGGCCTTCATTGCCTCCAATTCGTCACGAACGGACTGTAGGTCCCGGTTCAAACTGTTCTTCTCGTCAGTAATGGTCTCGATGGTCTGAAGAGCGGTCTGGAGCTGGGCCTGACTCTCGTTCCAATCGTCGAGGTAACCGATCACAGAAAGGCCATCATCTACGTCACGAACATGTTTGGCGTGGATGTCGATGTGGAGAGTGCCCTCAAGAATCTCCACGGGGTCTTCCATGCAGAGAAGGAAGTCCATGGGATCACGGACTTGAGGACCTTGATCGTCGGTGGGATCGTCAATACAGCGGGAGCGTAGCTCCGACGGGACCCATTCAACATGAAGCTTGCGATTCTGGTAGGCGAGGTCGGTAGCTGACCAGTTCTTGATAACTCGGATGAAATTGGGGAACAACGACTCGCCAAGGTGAAACTGGAGAAAGGACGGCAGGTTGTCGAGCACGTTCATCGCAAGGGGGAGATAGCGCTGGCGAACCACCACGAAGTAGCATCCATCTTCCTCGGCTGGTAGGATCATGACGAACAGAGGGCTTGGTCTGTCGTTGGTGAGGTCCATCTGAGCAAGCTCGTCGATCCAGGCATCGTCGTCCTGGGCGACTTGGGTGCCGTGAGGAGGGACTTTTTCTTGTCCTCCACAGGTTTTGGAGTGGAAGCAACCAAAGACTTTTTGATGATGGTGGTCCACTCGAAGGTCGGGGGACTGTCATCATCATCGTCGTCACCGGACGACTCGCTATCACTCAGCACGTCAAGGGCCTTGGTCGGTGGCTTCTTGGGTTCTGCATCCTCCGCCTTCTTGGCCTGGGCCCCTGTGACGATGACGGCAAGAAGGAATTGTAGGAGGGTGATTACGGAAGAAGATGTTAATATCTCTGAAAAGATATATGGACCGAGCGTTTCAACAATTAAGGGCAAGCAAAAGCGAACAACACCAAAGGCAGTGGTTGATGATTGGATCGAAATGCCCAAGGAACTCCTGAAATACAAATCGAACCTGGATTTATGCATCGACATTATTCGGCTTGCCGATTTAGAGAGATGACAGTGATTCCCCTTCTTTGCATATCGTGGGTCCACTGGGTATTGGTTGCGAATGAAAGCTGGAAGGTTTGCCAGAAATGGTCCCTCATTAGTCTCAAATTCATGCTTGCATCTGTTGCATTTGTATTTGAAAGGGCGACACCAGGTCTCATTTGCGTCAGTAACAATTCGAAGAAGAGTCTTGTTTTGACTGTAACAGTCACGTTTCCGAGTAAGATCCTTGGATTTGCAGTTGCAACAAAGGATATGAAAGTCTGGAAATGCAAGTTCTAAGTCCATGTAGATGAACTGGGACCCCGCAAGGGAGTGGAAGTTCGGATCAATTGGACTTTCAGAATTGTAGATACTATTTGGAACGGTGTAAACAAAATTGTTCTTTCCAAAGATTGCATGGAACCTATCACGT